AAAAACCGTTGGGATATTATTATTATTATTATTATTATTATTATTATTATTATTATTATTATTGTTATTGATCGTATAAAAAATAAAACAAGGAGAATAATTGATAGGCCATTGTTAAAAACTGGGTTGTATAAAAAGAGAAAAAAACGGGAAAACCTAAAATGAAAAACGGGAAAAATATATACAATTGCATGGACAAAAAGGGAATAGGCTCGCCCAAAATCTGGCAGCACTGCCAATGATCAGTCTGGCATAAGCCCTTGCCGAGGCATGTTGTATTGTTTGCGCGTACAACCTTCTCGTTTCAACTGAAGTAATCGACTGAATATCCGAGTAGTTCGCTCAAGTGTTGCCACTGGCTTAGCCTTTAAAGTATTCATAAAAAATCGAAAACTGTATCTAAATGTATCCACCGAAAAGAGCGGTCATTTTTACACAGTGCATCTATGGAAAACAAACTCGGCCCCTTAACAAACTTATTAACATGTAGTCAGTATTTTCCTATCCTTAGACACGAATTTGAGAAACAAAGCCCCGTAGTTATAGTCATAATTAAGTCGACTCTAAAATTAATTGCAGCTTTTTGACATAATTTTCAATGGGATATCTGTCAAAAAAGCTTCAACTAACTTTAGTGTCGACATAATTTTGACTATACCTACGGGTTTTTGTTTCCCAGATCTATTTCTAAGAATCGGTAAATACTGACTACAATTACGGGCCAAAGTTTCCGCATGTTCGATGTTCATTACTACGATTAGATTCTCGACATTACAGTTAACTACTACAGGTCGGAAAACTTTTTAAAACTTGCAGACTACTTGGTGTTATTAAATGCACGTTTATAAAGCTAAAAATTTTATTTTTCAAAGTGACAAGAATAAGTGAAAATTTTTTATTTGGAGGATGAGCAGCAAACGGTTAAAAATGTTATAACAGCTCGTACATAAATAAAAAAAAAATCCTTCAACTTACGAAACTTATGGGAAAATGTATCCAAATTTACACTGAGCAAAGAAACGAAGTATCCCTCAAAATTTAAGGCGAAAATGTATCCAATTGGACACATATGTATCAAAACGGCAACACTGGTTCGCTCTCGGCAAAAGACACTAACACATGCCCAAAACGTGGTAGTGTTAAGCTGATGCCACATAAAACTTTTGCTTCGCTTTACGTGACAGATTCGCTTTGACAGATAAGATGAATTGTATGAAAATGCACAAAGCATGCCACATAAATCGTTGAAGCTGCAGCGCGAAGCGAAAAGATGGCCAACTCCCATCTTTTTGCGCGCTTTGGCAATCAGCCGGTTTAATATTTATTTCGTTTTGTTCAAATTCGAGTTTTCATGCAGAAACATAAAACTTAATTACACTGCTGATGATTTTAAAGCAAAATATATAAAATCCACAGCAACTTTGAGTAAAAAAGCGGTACAAAATTGTTTTCTTGGCGTTCATTGTGGCATACCTTTTGCGTCTGGCGCTTTGCTGGCAAAGTTATAAATGTCACGCAAAGCTACAAAGTTTTATCTAGCATCAGCTTTACAGGCTAACCTAATATTCACGCACGCCGCCAATTTATTGTCAAAAATTTCTCATGCACATGCAACTTGTATGAGATCAACCGAAATTGAACGGCGTGCGTATGAAGCTAACTCAATTTCCAATTTTTGTTCCGCGTGACATTTTGATTTGACGTTTCGCTCAATGAAATCAAATGCAAACGCATGCAAGTCAATTTCGGGTGACGCAAAAAAACAAATTCGACGGCATGCGTACCAAAACGCAAGCCGCGAATATTAGGTTAGCCTGTTAGTGTGCCCATCAGTGTTGCCAGAACTTTTTGGAGCGACCGGCTAGATTGGACAAAACAAACGGCTAAAAACGGCTAAAATATTTCAACAAGAATTCACATATTTTATATAAATACAAAAATTGCAATTAGAAAGACTAGTAAACACATACAATTTTTTATTTTGTTAACAAAGACATGTACATACGTAGCTAAGCTGTCCACCACTTTATTTTTGTTTAACAAAGGAAACTGTCGTTATACTTAGCTAAGCCTTTCATAAGAAGTCATGTTTATATTACTTATATATAAAAAAAAATAGATACATATATTACAAACTTATGGCTTTTTCTTTTCTATTGAACAATTTTGCCTTCTTATAAATGCTATAATATTTGCAGAAGGTTGCTTTTGGTCCTGCAAAATGGCTATACTAGCAGAAAGTGTGGCACTTTTGCTTAGTCGGCGGGCAATCTTTTGAGAAATGAACACGTAAAGCTGAGAAAGGGCTGAGGCAAACAGGGTAACATTATTTCGAGAAAAGAAAACGACGTGATATAAAAATAGAAGGTAGTTTAATTTATTGACATTCGTTGTTTTTGCCGACCACTTCACTTTTAACAAGTTTATGACTATTATTATTATTTAACTAAAATCATGTTGCCAGATTCACTGGCAGCAAAATTTTTGTTTCTTGTAAAGTAAAAGAAAACTTTGAAGTTAGTGAAGTTGGATGAAAATGTTAAAAGTCTTGCGCGTTCCCAAACAGCCAGAATTCGGAACACCTGAGCAAAGGTTCGAAAATAAAGTTTTTTGCTTTTCCATGGATAGAGTACATAATACAATCTA